GTGGTCATTAACTTGGGATTTGTTGTCAAATACAATTGGTACCAAATCTAGTTCTGCAGTTAATAGCCTGAGTAAGTTACTTACCCTTAGTAAACTTCAGATTCCTCATCTATAACAGGGTATAATAGTAGTCAAACGTATGAGTTATTATAAGAAAATAATTACATAACGTATATAAAGTTCTTGGCATAGTTCATGTATTAAAGTCTTAATAAAAGTTAATCATTAGATGCACAAGAAAATCCCTTTTATTTGGGATCGAATTGTTTTGCAGAGCACCATTCTCTGGAATAAAAACTGCATTGTGTTACAAATGAAAATATATAAATCTATTATGGAAAAAAATATTTTTAAATTCTGCCCCAAAATGCAAGAAGAAAAATGGAAAAAAATCTACTGTTGGTGGACACAAAAATTGCATTAATGAGTCAAAAGACTCACCCACTTTTTCCCTCTTTACACAGGCTAAAAAGAGAGATGAGATTCTCCAACTCTTAAAAAAACAAAGAGAAGAAAGGATCTCGGTGAGACTGATAGTAGGCATTTGGATAAATCTATCTGGGTGGGGGGTGGTGAACTATCGAAAGTTCTCCAAGGTTGACCCCTTGAATCTAGATAACAAGGTCCTGAGCCTTTTATATACCAGAGGGGGGCAGGTATAGACATCAGATAATTTGGCAATCCTTGATAAACCAAAGGTATCTCCAGGGTGTGCCAGCTCTGATGCCAGAGAAATTAGATGCTATTGTCAGTGAGCTGATTATCGCATAGTTTAAAGCTGCAGTATTAACATGGGCTACTTCAGTGCTAATATTTGTTTTATGATGATTGATCTTACTTAGATCATGCAAAAACAAATGCTGAATGATGATAAACAAACAATAAAAACAACAGGACCCTGTAAACTTAAGAATGTATAAACTCTCCTAATGAACCCCAAATTCCCTAATCTGGAACATTTCTGACCCCACAGTCTCCAGATTTAAGAAGCTAGTCTGGCCGAAACCGGTTTGGCTCAGTGGATAGAGCGTCGGCCTGCGGACTGAAAGGTCCCAGGTTCGATTCCGGTCAAGGGCATGTACCTTGGTTGCGGACACATCCCCAGTGGGGAGTGTGCAGGAGGCAGCTGGTCGATGTTTCTCTCTCATCGATGTTTCTAACTCTCTATCTCTCTCCTTTCCTCTCTGTAAAAACTCAATAAAATATATTTAAAAAAAAAAAAAAGAAGCTAGTCTGTATAAACTCTGTGATAATTTTACCTCAAAAATTTTTTTCAATTAAATTTCAGTCAGTGCAAAAAGTAACACATTTCCTTTTTTTTGTTTTGTTTAGAAAGAACTGATCTCCCTTCCTTATAAACCAAAGAGCAAAGTCTGCAAAGCAAAGTAAGTTTACTTCTGTCAAATATTTTTACTTTTTTAGTTACCCCATAAAAGCACTTTTTTTTCTTACTCACTTTGCCCCCCAATACTCAAACCTTCTAAAAACCCACCCACTGATTTAGAGATTTCTTGCCTTGAATAAACTTCCTTCTTTTCTATATTAAAGCCTGTGTGTCCACTTCCATATCTGTGAAATATGCAAGCATAGGTTAGTGTAAACAGGAAAGTAAATCAACCTTGTATCTCTGTACACATTCTCTCCCCCTCCTTTTTTTTAAAAAAAAAATATATATATATATTTTACAGAGAGGAAGGGAGAGAGGTAGAGAGTTAGAAACATCAATGAGAGAGAAACATCGACCAGCTGCCTCCTGCACATCTCCCACTGGGGATGTGCCCTCGATCCAGGTACATGCCCCCGACCGGAATCGAACACGAGACCTTTCAATCTGCAGGCCGATGCTCTATCCACTGAGCCAAACCGGTTTCGGCTCCCCCTCCTTTCTTAACCTGGGCTATTGTATCCACCTGCTAGTGCCCTCTCCACTCCCCTCTCCCCTACTCACACCTAGCCCCACCATCCCTAGCAAATCAGTAGGTCTTTTATTGTCAGTGCTGACACCACCAATGGCATATCTAAATCCATGTTGAATCTAAATCCATGTAGCAGGGCTTTACCCTCACAGTGATGAGCTAAAAACCTATCCCTAGAATAATATTAGAGCAGGACTAGGCACAGGGTCCAGAACTATTGAAAGAAAACCAGCTGCCACTAGTTAATCATTTAAGAACTCTCAGGGTTTTTTTTTATTATTATGACTGAAAACCAATGTGGCTATCTCAACATTTATTTTAAAAGTATTTATTTGCATAATACCTTCAGGGAAGAACAGTTAGAAAGTAATAGAATTTTTATTCTTACCCCATTGGTATTGAGGCTGACTCCCTTTAATGTTATCAAATATTATTAAAGAAAAATTAATATATCTACACTAATTTTTAAAACTTCTGGGGAAAATGGAAAAATCATTTCGTCACCTGGCTATATTGTCCACACAGTGCTCAGCAACTTAATTTCTTGCATTTTAGCCAGATGGTTAGATGTAACTTCTGAGGAGGAAGCAAAATTAGTCTAATGAAAAGATCCACTTGATTCAAATAATGAATAAAGACTGCTATTTGAGTAGCATCAGCAGATATCTCTGGTTGCCTCAATTCCTGTACATATTTTTACAGGCATGGTCAGAACATTCCTTAATACGACCTATGTTGATCCAAGAGTAAAACATATTTCATAGCTTACTCTTTTTTTCTTTTCTTTTTTTGTATATCACCTTGCTAATTCTCCCTCCTCTGTCCTGAGGCCTTGAATTTCTTTCTATTTCACTGTGACAACTTCTTCCTCTGAGCTTCTTACACTATAACCATCTTTTGGCAATTGATCACACACTGCTCTGTGGCCACATTCTATTATTATTCAACTCATATTATGTCTTGTGTTGTTATTTAACTTTTCACATATCTTTACCTTGTCTATGACTGTATTGTAAGCTCCATTAGAAACTGGGTCACCCAAAGTGCCTAGCATACTCCCTACATGTAGGAATTCAGAAAATATTCAGAAAGATGTTGTTCAGTATTAGTTAATTTAGAAAGTGATGTTTTTATACGTACATTAGTTTATAACATTTTTTTTTAATTTTGAAATATTTTAGACACATTGTAAAGTACTTTAATTTTGCCCTCTTTTACCTTCCTCCATTCTTTCCTATCTGTCCCAAACCCCTCTGGGTACACAGATACAACCTTACCATCCCTTATCCAACAGATCTTAAGACAATCCAAATCCCCTACTGTCAGAAAGAAAGAACTAGAAAGTGTGTACAGAGTAAGATTTTAGTAGCAATATGTTTATTATCCACTCCAGGAATATTTGCATTATAGAGGACTGACTAGAAGGAACAATAGATAATTCATCATAACCAATTAGCAATGATGAAATCTCCCAAGTTTGACTCCTGGGTGAGCAAAACATATTTAGGGTTAGGAGGTCTTCTCTCATGCCCTTCAAATCACACTTTACAGTAGAATTACAGCTCCTCCCACATATAAGCTTACACTTGGTTGCAAAATCTAATGCGTTGTCAGAATCCAAGACAGTAAATCTTTATTGGGAAAACTTTCGAAAGTTGTTTCAATGCTACTTTGTGTTCACAACTACAGAGTTCTGTGTATGGGAACTGACCTATGTTACTGCCAACAGGAAAGTGATTCCAGAGTCCAATAAGGAAGATCAAGAAGAAGTCAAAGCTTTGAACTAAATTGATTGACACGTTCTAGAGGATGGCTCACTTAGATCTTCACTTTTGAAACAACCTAGTCCTACATCAGGATCATTGGGATCATTTGTTAAAATAGGCAAAAAAATAAAAGTTAAGTGTGCAGACTTCCAGGAATTTTACCAGTTAGTGAATATTTGGATCTATTTTACTTATTGGATACCACTGTATTTGACACCACACAATAACCATCTCTCTCATCTTATACATTCTCAAACTCCTATTTCTCTTGTTTTTAATTGTTGTCTCCAGAATTGCTATATTTGATCAATGTTATGAATATCAGATAAACAAGAAACAGGGCTTTATGTGTCCCAACTAGTAGACCAGTAATAAAAACAATAAGCAAATAGGGATGAAAGGGCAATCCTAAAAACTTTAAAGTTTTCTTGCTGTAAAAAAAAAATCTGTTTTCCAAAATTTGGTTTCTGGGACATGTCTGCAGTCAGGAATGAATTGCTCTAGTTCTGTGACCAGCTGGCTTAGCATTCCTATGTCTTACACACAAGTACATCCCAGTGCCAACCTCCCTCACTTTTAAAGATCATTCTCTTTGGTGTATATTGGAAACGAGAAGGTTAAGTATTTGCTCTTTGGCATTGTCCCACTGGCATTCCCGCTCAGGGTTGTACGCTCTGCTCCAGTGCTCACAGCTCTATCTATGACCACCACTCACTTCACTTGGCTCCACCTGCAGCTCCTGGACATAACCTCCATCAGATGCAACTCCTACTCCGCAGAGCCAACAGAACTTAATCACAGGGACACACCGAACTGCAAGGGAGGCCAGGAAATAGATCACTAAAAGAAGTAGAGAATGGATATTAGTGGAAACTAGCAGTTTCCACCACAACACTATTTGAAAAAAAAGTGTTCTGAACAGAAGGCAGGCCTTGAAAAAAGAAGTTTAGAAAGTTATAAAATGGAAATCTCATCTGAGCACCATCAAGAATAAAAAGGCTCTAGTCGTTTTTCTCAGTGGATAGAGCGTCAGCCTGCAGACCAAAGAGTCCCGACTCCAATCAAGGGCCAGTACCTGGGTTGCAGGCTCCTCCTTGGCCCTGGTCGGGCTCATGCAGGAGACAACCTATCAATGTGTTTCTCACACTTCGATATTGATATTTCTCTCTGTCTTTCTCTCTCTCTTCCACTCTCTCTAAAGATCAATGGAAAAATATCCTCAGGTGAGAATTAAAAGAATAAAAGGGACCCTATCAGGATGACGTGTTTATCTGCCAGACAGACAGCTCTCTTTAGTGATGACATAGCATGCTATCAAAGCCTAAACTTCCAAATCATGTAACTAATTCCCTTTCTTCTGATCCCATGCTCACTGAGTCATCTTTTGCCTAGAGGGAGAGTATGTGCTCAACAGGCCGATGCAAACATGGGCTTACCTGATGATTGTATTTCTCAATGTGTAAATATATTAGGCTCTCAGATTGGGTTTGAGTTTGTCAAACTAAGGATTGGACCAATTCCACTTTGTGAGCTTTCTTGGCAACCAGCCTTTCCCTGGTGACACCTGTCTGCATTGCCAGGTGTAACAGTTAGGTATTACTGCGCAATACTGCATGTCAAAGTGAGCGTCAACATTTATTCTTGCTCACACATCTGTAGGTCAGTTGGGGGTTCGGCTGATCTAGGCTTGGCCAGATAGCTGTGCTTCAGGCTACAGCACCTAGGCAGGTCTCTTTTCACTACAGGCCTGTGGATGGAGGCAGCTCTGCTCCTCACATCTTCTTTGGGATGTACAGGGACCAGTGGGATATCTGAGCTACCTTCCCCTAAGAGAATAGCAGAGAAGCAAGAGAACAAATGAAAACATGTGAGGCCTCTTTCCAGTCTTGGCTCAGGAACTTCTGCTTCATTCTGTCAGCCAAATAAATCACATGTTCAAACACAGAGACAAGAGGGAGGGAAACATACTCTGCCCCCTGAGTAAGAGGAACTGCAAAGTCACATAACAAAGGGTGTGGATACGGGGTGGTGTGAAGAATCGGGGTTGTTATTACAATCTACCACATTAGGTTGACTGCATGCCTCAACGAAGTCTCTCTGGACCAAGGGCCAGCATATCAAAGGAGAACTCAGGGCACAATTTAATTAATTGGACCAAAGTAACAGCTTCTCTGGGTTGTAACGATGCTGTAATATTGGAAATAAATATTTTGCAATTGACATTAAGTGCCCAGCTAACTACACACTTGAACATCTGTTTGCCTTATCAACCCTTCACAAAAGTTGAGGTAACTTTTAGTGTTACCAAGATTTAATTGAAACTTATGCCAAAACAACAACAACAATAAAAAACCACACAATAAAACTTCTCAAAGGCCACACAGACATTAAGTGAAGAAAAACAGGACTGGAAACAATGCCCGGGGCCAAACCAAGGGCTGATTTTCACCAGAGCAGCTCTCTCTTTGATTGTTTAGATAATGAGGAATTTCTAGAAAGAATGTATGCTGGATACGAGATATTCTAATTCGGAGATAAAGACGGGTGGTACATAAACTTGCCATAAGTTCCTGCTGTTGCTACTGGTTTCTGCAGTAGCAGAGCTTCCCCATATTACCAGCTGGTACCCCACACCCTCACCCCCTCACCCCGCCCTCCCACCCCACAGCCAGTATTCAGACCTATGTGTCTAGAATTGCAGTGGCTCAAGCTGAGGCCCCAAACCAGAAGTCAGCCCAGACGGGGCTTCTGCTGTGCTACACAGAAGGGCAAAGGCAGGGAAATCAGACGCACCTTGGGGGCTTACATTATTGTCTGGATATATTTGAAGACCAAACGTAAAACACAGCTGCTGTGGGAGCTTAGAAGCAGCACACATTGAGGGCTGGGTTGTGAGGAAAGCGTTTCCAGAGGAACTCGGGTCACTGTTTCGTGGGGGGCGGGGCCATCTCCTTTCTATCACAAGTTCAAGGCTGAACAAACACGAGCCCTGCAAAAAGCAGGGCAATGTTACTTCCTCGCTGAATGCAGTCATCCTTTGGCCTCGGGCGGAGCTGCTCTCCGCTCAGCCAGAACTTCAACTTAGCCTCCTTCTAGGGGCGCGATCCGTGCTGCCCCTCACGCGCCCGGCCAGCCCGAAGCCTGCGCTGCGCCCTACCAGCCCCAGGTGGTCCCCCTGCCTGCCTCTCCCAAGTGCATCTGGCCTGTCCCCAGGAGTCGGGCGAGGCGCGGTCCTGTTTTTAGCCACAGTGCCCTCGTCATCAGACTTCAGCGAAGCCAGGCGGGTTCGCCCCGGCCCTGAGCTCTAGGCAAATGCGGGATCTCCTAGGGAAGCTGGAGTGCGGCGGGCTCTGGCTCCCCTCCCCTGCTCGCTGCCCCCGGGGGGCCGGGTGTCTGGCGCCCAGCCCCGGAGGAGGCCGGGGGGCGGGCCAGCTGGCGGGGCTGCCCTGCCCGCAGTGACGTCCCAGGGGGCGGAGGGGAGACGGGCTGGCTCCGCGCCTCCCCGCCTCCTCCGGGTGCCAGGTCTGCCCTCCGGAGATGCAGCTGCCGGATGCAGTGGTGCGGGCTGCCGCAGGTCCACCCGCTCCTCCGCGGTAGCGCCCGGGTCCG